TCTTTGCTTTATCTCCCCATATCTACATGCGATTTTTTTTTACTGCATTAAAATTTATTTTCATGATCAATGTGGACTTCAAAATAAACTATACAGTCAGCCAAAGTAATCGTTTGTCATTATATTATTTTGCCTTTCACTTGATGTTTGTCCCCGCTTTATCATCCCATTAGCTCGAGAATAATGATAATGTTTCTCCTTTTCTGATAAAATAATGATATATAATCGAGATAGTGGCTCGTGAACGAACCAAAAGGTTTATAAATAGTTCCTTAACCGCAACTTTAGGCTTGATTTTAAGCCTTTGATTGTAAGCTGTTCCCTTTTTTTTTTTTTGACAGTAAATTAAGACAACCAACTATAATCAAATAATTAAGCTCATATAAAAATCCATTCCCGTTGGGCCTAATATGCCACAAAAATAAAATATAAAAAATATTCCAACATAAAGTGATTGTTTTTGCAATAAAGATGAGGAGTGATGTATAGTTAAAACTTAAAACATATTGTCAAAGCTCGAAATTTTAAGACAGAAGCTCCCTTTTAAAAAAAAAAAATGTATGTACTGCATAAATAAATTATTCGGAGCAGCAAAGAGCAAACATAATGCACTCTACACCTACACGTTATAACTATAATAACAATAACATATAATAATTGTTGACAAAATGATTTAAGTCCAGTGGATTACCATGAGAGAGAAAACTTTGTTAAGCAGCAAGCAAAATGACAGAGATTCTCCGCAAGCTAAATTTATGAGACAGATATACGAGAGAGATGAGATTTATGTTGTGTCTCATGCACTAAGCTCCAATAATTGTCTCTTTCTCATGTTATTTTTTTTTTCCTCTATAAATTTAACCACCGCTTCTACTTAACAAGAACTAACAATTTTTATCATCCAGAATTAATTATGTAAATAATATAGATTTTAAGACGAATATTTGTTTTCCTTACGATATTAAGAATGTTAAAATTCGCTTTTATCTTGCTTCCCGCTTCATCTGAACGTGTTAAGATAACAAAAATATAAAAAATATTACATTAATTTTAAACGTTTTAAAGATGTCACTTAAGAAATACTGATTATGCGTGTTAATAATACCAGAATTTGGCATGTTTAATAATAATGCTGTAATAAAGTGAAAAAGAGCATGGGAAGCAATTCTAGCAAAAGTATTTTTAAAAGGCTGGACAATATCAAAGCAAAAGAACTCGTGCGGCTTCAACTTTAACGTTGAAAACAAACACAATAAATAATAATCACTTCTGTGATGATTCCATTTAATTTGTTCAAAAGCTGCTTCCAAACCTCACAGTTCCATTTAAAAACGATTTTGTTCGATGAATAGCCACCACTATTTATGAAGCAGATCTTGCGGGATACTGCCATTGCAATAGCCCCAGCTTACTTATTATCCCTAGCTACACACTTTGGAGGACTTACCCAGTGAATTCTGATTCGTTGTTATCATCGGATATTATATTGTTTGTTGTGAAAAACACAGTACAACAAAAATATATTTATTTAGCCAAATTATGGACATAGTTGGCCCCAGTATGTAAGAGACGCAATCAAATCAACATCTTCATCAAGTATTAAAAACACATAGGCTATGATCAGGACCTACTTTGGTTGTTTATAAAATGATACATATGGCAGGTAAGAATACTAAGTAGTAATCATAGCTTTCCCCCTTTTTTCCTTTTTGGGATTGGCCAAATATAATTATAATTTGTTTTTGCCAGCGCCAAGCATAATTATAATGATTAGGCATAAGAGAAGAGAATGAAAATCTTTATTTTCAATTAATTAACTTTTCTGATGAAGATTTCAATCAAAAGCACATTGACGTAAAAGAAAGTGCATGGACTAAACTTTCTCAGCGAAAGTGAGGTGCTCCTCTGCAAGATGGAGGAATAGGCCTCTTTATTAAATTTAACAAGAACACAGTGTGAAACAAGGAAAATAAGAAAAATGGAGTTTGACACAAAACAAATGTATAAGATCACAATACTATTTCAGCTTGATGCGGGATCATTAGACACACAATCTGGACCTTGATCCCTGAGGCCGGCATGAAAAGTGAGGTGGCCAGGTAGGTTGAGCGTGCAAGGGTCCACTTTTATGGCCCAGACAACGATGAGCCTAACAAGCCCAAAAGCCCAGAGTCAGAAAATGCCCAATAGGCCTGAACTCAGCCATAAGCCTATACCTTGATTTAAAATATATGCATAGAACTCGCCATATTTTCATTGACCATGTTGGGATGGAGAGAAAATAGAGGAGGAAAGAAAATGAAGGGGGAAAATAGGAGAAGAAATGAGTTTTTCTTTGTTTAGATGAGGGGAGAAAAGTGAGAGGAAAGAAAAGTAGGAGAGAAAATAGAATGTGGGACCCACTTTATTTTCTCTCCAACTTTTCTCTTTACATATAAAGAGAAAATGAGAAGAAAACTCATATTCTCCATATGCTCTCTTCAAATTTAGTCCAATAATATCACATTCTATCTTTAATGCAAGTTTTTCTTTTTAATTTTACTTATGACTACTTTATAATTCAACAAAATTATCTCATTATATTGCGGCCAAAATCAAAAACTACACGAGAACTCCATTCTTTCACATTCAATAAACAATACAGGAAATTCACACAAATCTATATATATACATGATTTCTTCATCCTTTTCACCTTTTATATTGAATTTTTACTATTTATTAATAATATTAAATAGTACGTAATTTATTTATGTCATTTTATTATGCTTGATTTTTAAAAAATTATCCACTTTTTTTTTTTAAATTTGTAGCTTTAAAAAGAATTTTTTTACTAAATTATTTGTTTTTTACAATATAATCACATGGTAATAAATTTTTATCAAATAATTTGGTTTTAAATTATTTAATGATATTAACACTAATATGATTTTTTTATTATGATATTTAATTTAATTTATAACATGATATATTTTCATATAAGAATAATGGTCTTTTAGTCATTCATATATTTGCTTATTTTCTTTTCTTTCTATTTTCTCTTGTTTATCTAAACAGAAAGAAAGATAATTTTTTTCTAGTTTTTTCTTCTCTCTGTTTTCTCTCCTTCTATTTTCTTTCCTCCTAACTTTTCCTTCCATTCAAATGAAGCATAAGTCTTCCAACTAAAAAGATATTTGGATAGAAACCAGATAATGATTTTAAAGATAATTTTACGGTGTACAAAGTAAATATGTGAAGAAGTTTGTCTTGATCAAAGAAGTACTTTTAAAAAGCACTTCTAGAAATATCCAAATACCTCCAAAAAGAGACCTTTATATTCATCAACTATTTAGTGGAAGGAGCTATTCGAATTCTCTTTAGAGGCGCCTCCTATAAAAGAATACATATGCCTGGTGAAATAAAAGGCTAAAATGTGAGGAATACATATTTTTTTCCATTTATAAATTAAATTGTCTCTATTCGGATCATACACCCGCTGTGTTAATGGAAGAGATCAAACATTTGTTATATCTTGGTGAATTGGTCTGATAATAAATATGGGAATAAATTGTATACAAGGCTTGTCCTTGTTTAATTTGTTCTTCACCAAAGCGGAAAATCATCAATGACTAAACTACTTCGCTATGATTGCTCGTATTTGTGAATTGTGATATGAATTGTTGATGTTTGAGTTAACTTGTTGTGGGACTTGGGACTATTTTGATTTTAATAATGTCAAAATTGAATTTCATTCTATTATTTTTTTCTTCTTCTTTTGATAGAAGAGCTTGATGAATTTTGCTTTTACTTGCTCTTGTTAGGCACAAATATATCCATGTTAAAATCAATTTTATTTCAAGTATTGTCTGGTATCACCTTTCCCAACATGAATCCAAACCCTAATTTGTCATATTATAAGGAATTAACTCTGTCCGTTAGATCCAACTCCTATTAGTTACTCAAGCGAAATTAACTAGCCTAAAGAGACTAGAAGTAAGGAACATAGTTGCGGCTAAGACCATAATACTATTCAAGCTTTACATTATTCATTATTCATATTTGCTATATTGATTTTAATCCCCCTTCTCTTCAAAATTAACCGGGTGTGTTTAGTCTTGAATTTGAAAGGTATGGCAATCACAAGTCTCAAATTGACAGATTTTGCCCACTTTAGGGTTTCTGCGGAGTAAACTTATCATGAAGCATTTGAAATTGTGGTGAATTCGCCGGTACATCATCTGGTCAAGATGTGATTTTGACCAGAATCAACGTTTTACCAAGCACCCTGCATTATAGTTGCTGAAGATTCCAAATCAATTTCAAGTTTTAATGATGACAATGTCTTATTGGCCAGCGAGAATCAAAATTAGAGTAGAAAAAAATTATATTGTCAGTTCTAAATGAATTTCATATTTCACTGGATGGAGCAGTGGCCGTGGTTAACCATAAAAACATAACGCGTTGTTCTGTACAGAGAAAACAGGGTGATTGTTTCTCTTGCACCCACTACAGTCGACTTAGTTTTTTCTTTTTTGGTCTGGCCTAAAACTTGGATTCTGGAATTCAAACAAGTGATTATGGAAAATGATTCGTGCGAACTTCACAGATAAATAATCAGACTCATAAAAATTCTACCACACAGGTCCTAATCTTCATCAAATTAGTCTCCAATCTGATAACACCACTGAAAGCTCTTTTTCTTGCTTTGCCGCCATTAGTATTTCAATTGCGTATTTGCGCTCAACTCTCTCAGAAAGGCGACGTTTAAGTCTCGCATCAAAGAATTATATTGTGTATAAATATCTATAATTCTGAGCAATCAACCCAGAACTACAAAACAAACAGCAATAGTTTTTATTTACATAAAAGTGCTGTAAAGCTTGGCAAACGGAAAAGAGATCGAGGTAGATTTGGGGCAACATCATGTTGTTTCATCCACCCCATGACAATTTTTCCCTTCAGAAATTTTTTTTCCTCACTTCCTGCATTAACCTCCCTGCCTTGGTCACAGTGATCCAGAGCTATCTTACGGTAAAGCATGTGTAGAAGAACTCTTGGCGTTTGTTGGGCTTAATCTTTAAACTTCCGTGACCTATATCATCTTCAAGAAAATCCCGAGTCTGGATTCAAGCGCCACTGCAAAGATCAGTAGGATCATGTTTGTGAACTTGAATCGTAATCTTTTCGTGTTTGGGAGGATTACAAGGACACGCCATGGCTATGAACCTTGGAACCTCATCTCCTGGCATCAATACAGGCAAGCTCTGAACCTCGCTCTGTTTCATCACCTGCCACAAAAATCAACAACGTTTTTGTTTCTTTTTCTGGGCATGAACAAGAGATTATCAAGTAATAACCAATGATGATACTAAAAGGACCACGGATATACCACAGGAGGAGGCGCAGGTTTGTGGTGAGAGGAAGGTAAATCTGGAGATGAGTGAGAGTGATGAGTGGTGTAAATAAGGCCGTAAGAACGAAGCAGAGCTTGAATTTTATCCCAGTGCAGGCAGCAGCAGAAGAAGCAGCAAATGAAGAAGAACAAGGTGAAGAGAAGAGCCAAACCCAGAGGGAAGCCTATGGAGACTCTGGCCGATGATGTGTCGTCAATCTCCATCCTCCTCATGTCAAATGCTTGACAACAAGGCGTTAAATAAAAGAGGAAGATTCATAAAGGACCCGTTTGGAACAGCTTATAAATAGTTTATAAGCTGCCTTTCAATAGTGATTTACGAAATATGAGGTAAGTATGTGAGATGAATTTTATCTCAATTTACGTGAAATGTACTTAGGCTCTGTTTGGGTGCTCCAAAACCGTGGTTTCAGAAGTACTTTTCTGCAAAACGAGGTAACCTCCTCCACATATTTACTTCGTAATTCATAAAAGCACTTCTGAAACCATGGTTGTGTTTCTATCCAAACACCCCCTTATAAGAGATTTCTACTGCTCTGCCAAACGAGACCAAAGTAAAAGAGAAAAGAGAGCAAGGGAGTTGCTTTACATTGATGGCGCTGTTGCCTGATGTGATGACGATGATGGGGCACTATGTGGTTTAGTGGAGGTTTGAGTGTGACATGTTTATTTATTATTGAGTGTGCGTGTGTTTTGATGAGCGCGTGTGGTGATCAGGCATGGCAATATGAATGGTACAATTTCCGTTTCGTACGGAGAAGAAAAGAGTCTTCGTAGTCCTGCCTATGTACGACAGTTTTATATGTTTAGTTAAGGGGAAAATTTTGCCTTCTCTCTAAGGCTGGCTTGTCTTGCTTGTTAAGATTTTCATGGCCTAATGAGTTGGAGGGGAAGAGCCTTGGGGAATTGATTAGAGCTGTCTCTTTTAATGTATAGGAGGCAGATATCCACCTGAGCCTAATTAATTGATTACTAATTAGCTAATAATGGAACAGAAAGTACATGATGATAAGCTAAGAAAACAAAGCTAATTAAAGCCTTCAGAATTTGCAACAAAACATTCTCGTCAACTCTAAAATCACCTTCCCTGTCATTAAGCTATAAGAGGAAGATGAGAGGTGAATTAAATTGTCATAAACTTAAATCTCAGAAAACCAACTTATTAAAAAGAAAAATCTTTACTGAGAGTCAATATTCCTAACAGCTCCATATCAGGGCACTTAACTCGACCTTCTGTTGATAAAATTTTTTTATCATGAACACAAGTTCAAAAGGAGAGTATAATCCCAAAAGACTGACGTATAATGAGAAATAACTATTGACTTATAAACCACACCACACTTGTGAAGATCCTCGATACAAGACTCACACACTGTTTGGATCAAAGTTTTCCCACTTTAAACTTAAGTCTGCATAAGAAGGGAGCATATTGGGAGAATGGAATTGGAAAGCGGAACGAGTGATGTAGGAGCAGGACCTGCGTTTTGGCCTTGTGAAAATGGCAACATGTGTAAATGTGATGTTGGGTATGGTGGTAGTCACAAAGTGGTGGGTGGATGCGTGAGAGGTGAGACTTTTGACAAGCGCATAGCTTTCGGGGAAGTGGAGGGGTGTACAAGTGTTAAGCACGGCCACTTATAAAAAAGCCTCTCCTTCCTCGCCCCTTCATTTTGCGCCAACGTATCCTTTACTTCCCCAAATCATACCATTTTTTATTGCAAATATCACTCATGCCATATATTGCCTTTTGTTGACCTGAGCTTCTAATATTTAATAAATTAAATAAACCAGCAATTTTTTCATGCGCTGAGTGTACATTGAAATTAGGTCGTCATGGTCTATATCGATCAAGTTTGGGACTCTGAGGTGGAAAGCATTATAATCAGGATGCCCTCTTTGCTAAATAAAGCTTTTTGGTAGTGCTCCTTTCCATCGTCAGAATCCCATGGGCTTTTCATTTCTGCACAGAGACGCACCCTCTTTCGCTTCAATCAGGCAAAATGCGTAGGGAGAGAAGAGAAGGATATGTAGGGACCAATGGAAGAGAAAAATAATATTGAAGACCATGAATTTATAAAATGACAGTGAAGGATAAGGTTAATGAATAAAATACCCTCCCGTGATTAGAACAAATAGCTTAATTACAAAATTTAAAAGATTAATTAATTGCGAATGTTTCATGATCTATGGAAGTTTTTCAAATTTTAAAAAATTAATTATAAATTTGGCAACTCAATTGTAAATGCTTAAAACTTAAGTGCAAGATCCTACGAATTCATATGTAACTAAGTTTTTGGTATTTATAACCGAGTTTCGGATATGTATAATTTATAAAATTTTCATAATTCATAATATATTTACAATTATTTTTTTTCTGTGTTTACAACTAAATTTGTGAGATTTGCTCCAAATGGTATGGCATGGAGACTTTCCTTTGTATGGGGGGGGGGGAAGAAAACCTTTCTCAGATATGCTGGATGGTCGTCGCTAATTACTTTCGAAAAACTTATGGTTTTCGAATCCCATTTTACTAAATTTTTCTGTTCATTTCTTGCGGGTTTGAAGATATGTAAGAACTTGATTGAGCAACCCAACAATATAGCTGCAGTTCATCTTATAACTTTTAACTTGAGACCATGAATAATCATAACACCAGCCTCCAATAATTAAGATGGAACTGGCTGACGTTCAACCAAACGAAGGCCATACATCTCTAAGAAATGACAGTGCTGGCTAATTAAACTTGATACCATATCGAGTAAATGAACATGGGTAATTACGGCACATATGTGTTCTGATGTTGATAATGCCATTGTTTATGGATGAGTTACAATAAGTTTTGAAGTTCAGTTATAAGTAAGTTCCATTATGCCCGGTCAATTGTATTGGCTGTATCTTTGGAGTTGAGCTCACGTGTATACAGCTCCCGCATTTCTTGAGTCAGGTCTCGTCATATATAACTCAGATTCTAGCTAGTTGGGTCTTGAAGCTCACTGAATAATTTTGATGGCAACATACTGTTCAAGAATGTCCTTGCACTAAATAATAAGGGTGAAAAAAAAAAAGAAGGACGAAGAGCCACATGTAAAAGGGAAGAAGGAAAAAAATGGAACTTTACTCTTGTTACAGTATATGCAGATCATCGTGGCCCGTCCCTTCGCATATAAATCTCATAGTGCTAAACATAACGGAATTCACGGGCAATAACTATTTTTTTATCATTCATAAATTTCATCACATTCACATAAACAGATACAATTCGAATTCCCCCCACAGTCTTAGATTGAAATCATTGGCATGAGTCCTTCAAAACCACTGCCCAATTGACCAAAAACGGACGTATGAGAGAGAAAAGCCGACTAAAACAGAAGGCATTATGTTGCTTCTGATGAAGAAATGATGATCTACCATTTTTATGGATCAAAGAAAGAAAAGAATTCAATTAGCTATACCTTTCACTCATAAACCTCTTCGGAATCAAATAGTCAAAAGTCCCTTCTCCTAATGCATAAAAGCTATGAAGTCCAGTAGTTTCTGTCTTTCCTTTCTTCATATACTTCTTGTCCTCACAAACATCTTCCTCCATATCCCGCGCTTCTAAATAACGCTTGCTTTATATCTCCCGAACCCAGTATCGTCCTGTGCTCCAGTTCCTGTTCCATATTTAAATGTGTTACTGGAATACTAAAGGATGTTAAATTAAAGTAACACACGTAAATAAATAAGTAAGTAATGTACCTCTGAGCAAGAAGCCTGCATCGTGAAATCATTGAAGCAGCTGATAACACATTGCTGAATCTCAAGCCCGAAGGCTTCCAAGGTGTTCACTGCAGATAGCAACAAGCCTGGCTTCCCTGCACAGCATATTTCAACCCTCGTGTCCACATTCCTTCTCTCCACATCAAACTGTGATAAGTGAAATAAATAAGTTGGGATCTTTCAATGCAGATTTTGACTGCGTTAAAACTAAACAAGGATGTTGGCGGTGAATACTGGAACTAAAAGTCCGTACCTTGGGTGAATTTCTTGCTGTGATTTCATTTGGTCTCGCATCCTTCAAAACGCCCACCATGTTTGAATCCAAGTCTATTTCTTGCTGCAAATCTTTAATCTTCTCCAGAAGTTCTTTCATGTAGTCTATCGTGTCCCCAAGTATAGATGTTCTATCCATCTGTAAAGAACATCGAGCAAAAGCAATGATTATTAGTTCTGCAAAACGACACCAGTGGGATAATGCGTTTAACGAAAAATTTTGAACATTAGCTAACTTACTGCTCCCTCACCTTACTAATCTTGGGGACAATAGATCTTAGCATGGAGAGACGATCATTTAGCCTCTTTCTTCTCCTCCTCTCAGCCATTAGATTCTTGGAAGGCTGTCGCAGCAGTTTCTTGGCGGGTCGATTCTTTCCTTCCAAATTACAGGTGCCCATGTTGAAAACTGGCATTTCAGGAGAATGGCTGATAGGCTCTCTCTTACATGTCCTTTTAAGATCCAAACTCTGAAACTCTTCTCCAAACAAACCCTCTTCCTCCATCATGGACGAGAAGGGGTTATTCTCTTCTTGAACCGGAAAAGAAGGGGGGCTAAGTGAAGTAGTAGTATCGAGAGTGGTGTAGGGCGGTGACGAATCGATGATCTGGGGTGCAGAGAACTCATCAAGTAATGAGCTGTAGATTTCGTTGAAGGTACTATGGTTGTTGTAGTTTTGAGGTAGCTGTTGATCAGAGAAAGAATTTGGGAGAAAAGCAAAAGAGTTTGGATCAAAGCAGTCCAAACTATTATAAGCACTGGGGAAGAAGAACCGGTTTTCTTCATTTGGACTTGGAATTGTGTCCCATGCTTCTCTTCTTAGAGCTAGTAATTCCTCCAAGAAATCATATCCAGACACCTCCATTTCTCCTCTTGTCCTTCTCCTCCTCCTCCTCCTCCTCTCTCTCTCTCTCTCTCGCGGTCTGTGTTTCTCTGGCTATTGAAATTGCTGATTTGTCTAGGGAACACTATGAGAACACGCAGGGCCAAGTTGGAGATTTATAGTGGCTCAGGGTAGCGCTTCTGCCAAATTGATTAATATTGTATGCATTATGTATTACGTATTATTTTGTATCTATTAGCACCTACTTGCCTATGTCTGAAATGGAATCTGCTTTCTATCATCTCTCTCTCTCTCTCTCTCTCTCTCTCTCTTCGGGAAGGGTCGTTCATTGTGTCTTTTTCACCGAAATCTGAGCGATCATGAAAAAATTAAACCAAATATTTAATTGAC